AAAAAGGAATTTTGTATTTCATTTAAAATACTCGGAGGAGATATCATTTGCTGCCGTTTGTGTTCCAATGCTGCTTCTGCTGGTGTTTGTTTTATTGTGTATTTTTGGGTGAATGTGGCGGGGCTTATAAAGGTTGATGAGAGAGCGAGAGATATTGCAAATGAGATGGTGGTGTGGGGGATGAGAAAATTGTAATGTTGATGATTATGATGTTGCTGGATAAAATTAGGGGTGCAAAAATGGATTTTACTTTTTATATTTATTATTTCCTTTTTTTTTTCTTCTTACTTATGTACCTACCTATTTTCGTTATCTCTACTCTTTGTTGGCGTTTAATGTTCATCATTTATTATTTCTGTTGTTGTTGTTGGTAGGCCATCACTCAGTCAAACCAAAATGTCCTTTCTCTTGCAAAACAAAAAAAGAAGCAAAACGACAGATGTAAGCTAAAAATCAACCAAGGAGAAAAAGAAGAAGGATGCATATTCCGTTTTGGTGGAATTCGCTGATGGGGTTTTTTGTTTTTGGCACAATTGCTTTTCTTTGTAAAAAAGGAAATAATAAAAAAATAACACTGGCTATCTAGCTAAGATGTGTATAGCAAGGATAGGTTAATGTCGTAGGTATCTCCTTGGGTTTTAAGGTGGAATTTTTTTTTTTAACATTTGCGTGTTTTTTTATTGAGTACCTATCTATTTCTTGGGGGAAATGACAATTTCAATTTTTGAGGGTGACGTTATAGCACACACACAGCCACATATTGGCAAACTGGCAAATGTTTTTAATGTAAACTGCAATGGTTTGTTTGTTGTAAGGACCTTTTCCCCTTCTCATAATTTGTCAAAAAAAAAAAAAAAAAAACATTTTTTTGACTCGTATCATATATTTTTACTAATCCAGTATTGAAAAGTTCCTGTGTTGGTGTGGTGTGTGTGTGTGTGTCACATACATTTCCCCCTTTTTGTGTGTGACGACTACCAATTTTTTTTAGTTTGATTTATCTCTTTCTTTTTGTTGTGTGTGTGTGTTTTATATATATTGTGAATAGGGGGTTAAAAATTAGAACATTTTCAAGCACCCTCCATGTGCAAAATAAATGCACACGTGTATGTATTTTCTGTTTTATTTTTTTTTTCATTTATTAACACATGTACATGCATGGGGGTTTATTAATTGAATATGATGTGTTGTGCTGCATTATTTTATATTTGAGGTTAGGTACACATTTGTAATTTGAGACTGGCTGGGTAATTATTTTTTTTAATGATTTTTTTTATTTATGATTCAAATTTGGAAGAACTTGGGAGAATATATAAAAATAGTGAATTATTGTTTATTATTAATATTAATTTTTTTGTCTCAGTACCTGTTACTTCTTATAGTATTTTTTAGATGCTCACAAGAATTTCTAATCCAAAATGAAATGCTTCGTAGTATATTCAAAATTAATTTAAATATACTAGATGTATAGAATAAACAAAATACAAGCTTAATTATAGTAAGGTATACTATATACTTTAAAACTCCTTAAAGTATGCTACAAAATACAAAATATAAGGTAGACACGTTAAAATTGACTCTAAAAAATTTGTCTTACGACTGTCTATTGAAATGAAGATATAATAAAACATTATCTCATTTTGGCAAAAAAAGGTTATATGTATATTGGAGTTAGCCCCCACTTGCCGGTTTTTATACCCTCCACCATAGTATGGTGAGTATATTACATTTTAGACCCCACAAAGTATATATATTGTTGATCAGCATAAAATTCTATGTCGATTTAGCTATGTCCGTATCTGTATATATAGGTCCACGTTTTAGTATAGACCCCATATAATGGTAACTCCCTAGTACTAGTATTTTGGTAATCTAAGCGACATTATTCACCGAAAATGTTTCAAATTTAGTATTTGAAGTTCGTAATGGATGCTGCAGACTGTGACAGAAATTGTCTGTGCAGGTCCACGTTTTCGTATAGACCCCATATAACGGTACTTCCCGATATTCGGTATTCTGATGATAATAGCTACATTATTCACCGGAATTGTCTCAAATTTTGTATTTGAAGTTCGTAATGGATACTACAGCCTAAAACAAAAAATTGTCTGTGAAGGTCGAAGTCTTCGTATAGACCCCATATAACGGTACCTTACGATATTTGATAGTTTTATGATTTTAGCGATATTATTCACCGGAATTGTTTCAAATTTGGTATCTGAAGTTAGTAAGGGATATCTAAGACTGAAAATTGTCTGTGCAGGTCCACGTCTTTCTTTAGCGCCCATATAATGGTACCTTGTTTGATCGGTATTTTGAGGGTATTAGCGGCATTATTACCCAGAACTGTTTAAAATTTCGTATATAAAGTTCGGAATCGTTACTACAGCCTATGACTGATGCAGCACCACGTCTTTGTATAGCTTCCATATAAAGGTTTTCATTAGAGGTGGTATTTTTCGTCGGATTATTGTTTTTTTTTCTTTTTAATTTTCAAGTTTCTTCCGAATGGTGTTCGATATATTTTAGCTGTTTTTTACTTGTTATTATTTTGAAATTGTCAACCACTAAATCAGCTGTATACCACAATTTGGGCTATCATTGGGTAGAACATCTTTTTGCAAAAATTGCTCAATTTTTGTAGACAATTCTTCTTTAAAATTTCTATAAATTTTTATATTTTTCAAAATTTAACATTTTGAAGAGTAAGTAAAAAAGATGATAACCTCATTTCAAATAGGCATATCCAATTCTCGTTTTTTGATACTCTCAGCCATATTTCCATATGTGTTTTATTTGATACAGCTAAAATGTCCCTCGGCGTTAAGATACACAATTTTATCCGGATTAACCACATTATCCAAATTTATTGCTTTAAATCCGGCGAGGAATCTCTATATACTAGCGGAGATGATTATTAGTATTGCGGTAAATTTCGAAGTCGCATACGTTTCCGCAAAGGTGTTCTTTACACTTTGCATTAGCCTCTTTGGACCACATGCGTCACAGTTTATTTGGAGTCGATTTTGCGATTATTCTCGAAGGAGATATCCGATTTCGTCCAAACTTTAATACATAGCAATTTTATGGAACATAGATCGAGTTCAGAAACGGTCATTAGTTCATTATTTTAAATAAAATGATGTACTTCATAGAAACGGGCAAATCAAATGACTTAGTTCAAACATTGCAAATCCCTATATTGGTGTCAGTGCTCGGTCAGGGGAGAGAATAGTCAATATGGGATAGCTTTTTCCTCCCCCTTAAAGGATCACTATTATAACTTTTATAAAATGTGAATGATGAGTCCAATTGTATTCAAATTTCGTATACTCCAGTATTTCACTTTAATTTAGACCCCCAGCGAAAGAAAGTGTGAAGAGTAATGTAAATAATTCACCTTACAAATGACTAACATGATTTGTAAACTAGCCACGACATAATTTATTTTGAAGAAATTCACACTTTTTTTATTAAATTCCTTAATGTATTCCATTATGTCATTGTAGAATTAAGAAGGTAAAGTCATGCAATCATATGTTTAAATTTTTTCAAAATTATTAATTTGACAACATCTCATTGTCAAAATTTATATTTACAAATCCATTGTATACACACACAAAAACAGAGATGGAAACCAGTTTCCTTTGCAGCGAAATTACAGAAAGTTAAATTACAGAAAATGCAGAGATGGATATGCTTATTTGAAATGACTCTACCTTCCTAATTTTACCATGCTTAATGTTTTATGAAGAGCGTTTGTCCTGTTCCGCATTTGAATATTTGTGTCTTGTTTGCATTTAAAAAAATAAGTTGATACTTAATTTACATTTGACACGTGTAAACGAAATGCGTTGGGGTGAAACGCTAAAATGTCAAATTTAATTAAGAAAAAGAAATATTCAAATCACTTTTTTAATAAAAATAATATTCAAAAATATTCTACGTAAACTGATTTTTTGAAAAGTAAACCAGATGAAATGACTTCTTATTTACTCTTATATTCCTTCCCGAAATATTTTTTTTGTTTTTTTTAGCTTTTATACGAGTTGAAGTGAGGTGCTCTCCTATATAAAAGTTTATAAAATAATAATTTCATTAAATTGTGCCTTGTATAGACCTTTTTAAATCAAACGTGGAATAGTTGGCTTTTCTTTCATAAAATATTTCCTAAATTATTTGAAAGAAATAAAGTCAACTATTGTCTATTCATTCCATCCTTATATCATCCGGCAACCTTGACACTTCTACACACACACCCACCTACCAACATCCTTAATTACATAGTGGAAATAAGTGCTTGATAAAAGCGAATATTATGACCTAAATCAAAAATGACATTATTACAGCAATTGCCCCACTCTTTTCTCATCGTAGAAAAATAGGACAATTCCTTCAAGTATCTCTCTTTCTGCTTGGCCAACTACCATCTGGCCTGACTACAAACACCCATCTGCCCACTGTATAAACAAAATAAATAATTGCCCCACAATTATACAAATGTTGTGACAAATTATTGATTTTTATTTCTTTTTTTTTTGCTAAGCAAATGTGTTTAGAATATTGTTTGTTTATTTACGAGAATAACAACAACAAGAGCAAAAAACACATTTTGTTAAAAAAATGACTATTGATTTTGTGCTGCATGTGTGTGTGGTTGTGGGTGGTGACCTTAGTAATTTTTATTGAAGGATATGCAATTTAGATTGATTATAATTCAGAATTCCACGTGTGAATTTCAAACACACACACACAGAATATATGAATAATAAAGAAAAGTGTGATTTTTTTGGCAGATAGAAGAAGGGTTTATGTAAAACTGACATATGCCTATGTGTCTCAAAATCATTCTTTATACGAACATCATCTTCATTGTTTTGATTTTTTTCTTCTTATTTTGTATTGTTTTCGTCAAATTAAACCAAACCTATACAAATTTTTCTGTTTCAAAAATTTCCGCTTACTTATCTCCCAAAAAATGTATTCTCTCTTTCTTGCAGAAAATGGAACGTCAGGGCAAAATGGAAATGGTTGCCAAAGAGCGTGAAATGCAACGCTTGCAGTGCATTCCAAAGAAATGGAATCGCCGTGAGGAGTATGAATTTTTACGTGTCCTTACCGGCTATGGTATTGATTTTCTACCACCCACCGCTCTGGCGCCGGGAACCACCAACACCCCCACAAGTCTCATGCCCGATTGGACCAAATTCAAACAGATGGCCCATTTGGAGCGAAAGAGTGATGAAACAATGAGTGATTATTACAAGGTATTCATAACAATGTGTAAACGTCAAGCGGGCGTTAAGCTAAACGACAATGAGAAGGGTCTAGAGGGCATAATCGAAGATATAAGTGAAGATCATGCCAAATTAATATTGGATCGTTTGGAGTTACTTTCGAAGTTGAGAGAAATCGCCAAACATCCACAATTGGAAGAACGTCTCAAATTGTGTATGGTTAATGCCGATACCCCCGATTGGTGGGAACCCGGAAAACATGACAAAGAATTGATGGCTGCAGTTCTCAAACATGGCCTATATCGTTCGGAGACTTTCATTTTCAATGATCACACATTTTCTTTTGCCGATTCGGAAAAACGTTTCATTCGTGAATTGGAGGCTCAAATCCAGCGTTCCATTAAACTGGAGGCCATGAATGCCGAAAAATTGTCCGTCAAGGATGAAATAATTGATCTGGATGATGAGTTGCTCACAAAGAGTAGCCTCATTAAAAAGGAAAACTATTCGCCCGTAAAGAGTGAAGTTAAAAGCGAGCCCAAGGATATTAAAACGGAAGATGTTGTGGTGGAGGAGTGCAAAAAAGAGAATTCCGCCAGTGATGAAAATAAATCGGAAAAATCCCATGACTTGTCAGTGAAAAAGGCAGAGGAGGAAATCGAATGTCAAGACTTGACAAAAGACGATGATGATGACGATGATTTGCCTTTGGCTTTGGAAAAAACCAAAGATAAAGTCAAGGAGGACGAAAAGAAGGATAGCAGTAGCTCGGCCACAGAGGCGGAAAAGGAAACACCAAAGAAGGAAGCTCAAGATGAAGCTGCTGAGGCCATGGATGCTGCTGAAGAACAAGATTTGTCCACATCTAAAAAGGATGCTAAAGAATCTTTGGAAGAGAAATCCAAGGAAGAAACGGAAGAAAAGTCTTTGGATGAAAAGGACAAAGAGGAAACACCATCATCCAAAACGGAGGGAGATAAGGAAGAATCACCAGAAAAGAAAGAAGATGAGGAAAAAGAATCGAGTTCAGAAAACAAGGAACAAGACTCCAAATTGGATTCCTCACTAAAAGAAAAGGAAACCAAGGATGAAGCAGAGAAATCATCCGAAAAGAAAGAAAAATCAGCGGAAAGTGCAAAGACGGCATCTACACAAGAGGATGAAATCTTGGATTTGGCCTCCGCCACAAGCGGTTCCAATGATCCCGATGATGAGGAAGTTATGAAGGAGAAAGAAAAGGCCGTGGAAGAGGAATGCAATAAACAAGCGGCCGAATTGAAGGCTCGTTTCCCCGACCTGGAAGTCATACAACCAGGTGCCGCCAAGCAAAAGCTGGAGAAACCAAAACTGGAAATGTGCATGATACGTTGGTTCAAAGATTTTGCCTTGGAGCGACGCATCTGTCACATTGTCACCTGTGTTGAAACAGGCAAATGGCCCGTGGACAAAAGCTACTCAGCATTGGCTGGTTGTAAGGATATGGATCTGAAGATTGCCTTACACGATGCCATACCCCATTTGAGTGTGGGCATAGAAAAACGTTCTACCACACCAGATGTTATTACCATTACCACTGACCAAGGGGTTACCAAACATTTGCCCACATCACAAGTGCAACAACAGGTTGCCACAGCTGCTGCGGCGGCGGCAGCAGCAACACCAGTGGTGGCACCACCCCCACCCGTACCACCAACCCAGGTTCCGGTGCCAATACCCATGACACCACCGGTGGTTACATCCAATACCATAACAGCACCGAAAATGTCATCAACACCCACAGCCTCAAGTATATCCTCGGCAGCTGCGGCCGCAGCAGCAGCCGCTGGTCTTTCTGGTCTAGATGCCAATACCCTAAATGCTGCCATGGCAGCAGCTGTTGCTGCAGCCGGTGGAAATGCCAGTGCATTAAGTGCTCTCCTGCCGGGAATGTCATTGACAGCCTTGTCTGGTCTCACCATACCCAATTCCAGTGTTGGTAATTCGGGATCAGCATCCACAGCGAACACCACCAGCACAACAAATTCGGGCAAGAAACGTAAACGTCACATTGCCATCGATGTGGAAACCGAGAGAGCCAAGCTGCATGCCTTATTAAATAGTTCTCAGTCGTGTAAGTATCCTAGATTTCCATGCGAAAACCTAAAAAGATGTAGTTTTTAATGAAATTTTTGATTTGTTTCAGTAGCTGCTAAAGACTGGGAAACCGAAATAGCAAATATGGCGGCTGCTGCATCGGGAGCTGGGACCACGATTGGTTCTTCAAGGCGTTCATCTTCTGCTGCCTCGCCGGCCTCTAATTCTTCATTGGCCTCCGCCTTGCAACCACCGCCGGCCCATCAACATGCTCCCTTGAGTCGTCAAACATCAGGACAATTCAATAAACCTGCCGTACCACCACTCAAGACTCCGCCACCATCTTCGATGGGCGGTGCCATGGATTTGTCATCGAGGTAGGATAGCAAAAAATGCAAACAATTGTCGACATATAATTTATTCGGGTTTTTAAATTTTAATTACAGCTTGCCCAAAATGAACATGGCTGATATCATGAAATCCGCCTCAGCTGGAGCAATTGATTTGAGTGAAGTACAAGATTTTTCAATGGGTTCCAAGAAATCTTCATCGAACTCACAATCCTCGGCATCAAGCATTCATGCAGCCCTGAGTTCTGCATTCCCCTCAATGGCCAGCAAAGGTGGTGGCAAATTAGATGATACCCTCAATAAGCTGATGAAAAAGAACAATTGTGTAAGTATTGGACAACTTGCCATCCAAAACAATTTTATCTCATCCTATCTTACTTTACAGACCATTGAAGAACCCGTTGTGGGCAAGGAAAAGAAACGCAAGAAATTGGATGAAATTGTTTTGGGTCTATCTGCGGCAAAGGAACAAAAGACTTTCCCCGACCCATCACTGCCCTCATCGAAGAAACCTCAAATACCACCCAGCGTATCGGTGACACCGGCCAATGCCGCCTCTGCCATGTCTTCGCAACAGCAACAAAATCAAAAACCATTTACAATCACTGTTACGACAGTGCCCGGAAGTGAGTTTGAGTCTCTGAGCTTTACATTTAACTTGAGATTGATGTGACCAAATGGGGGGAGATTTTCGATTCACCTGCAACACTCCCCTCCCGCTTGAATAATTGTAATTAACATGTCTATTTTCTTTTCATTTTCTCTTCAAATTCCATTATCTAGAGGGAAAAGGCAGTTCTCAATCCTCTGGAGGCCAATCATCTTCGGGAGGTTCATCTAGTTCCGGACTATCGGCTCTACAAAATATGGCTGGCATGGGTAGTCTTTCGGCCAAGGATAGTTTGAATGCCTTATTGGCCCAGACCATGGCCACAGATCCGCAAACCTTCATCAAACAACAGCAGAAAATGATGCAATGCCTACCAGCTGCTCAGCGTAAATTGTATGAATCGATGTTGGCTGAAATGGAGCAGACCATGAAAATGAAGTAAGTTTCTCATTTAGGTCATTGGTGGGAATTTTTTACTAAATCTCTTATTTTCTCCCGTTTTTACAGCGCCAAATACGGTGGTCCAATGGAAACAAAGGTAGACAAATGGCTGACAGACATGGGTGCACCCTCCATGGATTATACAGGTGGCAGTGGTAGCAGTAATCCCTCGACCTCATCCAGCGGCCGAAGATCGAATCGTCAATCTTCAACGCCATCCCAGCAATCTCTATCTGCTTCACAAATGTCATCTTCCAAATCATCTGCCTCCCAGTCACACAGTCAATCCTCAAGTGTTCAACAACACCAGCAACAACAATCAATGGGTGGCCCGCCACCTGGTTTGACCGGCGATGAGCCAGTTCCTGTGATCAATAAACAAACCGGCAAACGTTTGTCGGGCAACAAAGCCCCACAATTAAAGAGATTGATGCAATGGTAAGTTTCAAAACCATTCAATATCGCCATCGTCCTTTTTACAATTTCCATATCCCATTTTTCTGTTTTCAGGCTAACGGAAAATCCCAACTATGAAGTGGATCCCAAATGGTTAGAGCAAATGCAAAATCCCATGTCTGCACCCTCACCTAAACCAATGGAGTCCAGTTATTCGACATCAAGCAAGAGCCACACTGGCCGACCATCCTCAACATCGAGCAATGCTTCTTCCAACAGTCATTCCAATAGCCAACAACAATCCCAATCGACGCCCACATCGAGCTCATCCAAAAAGTCCTCAAGGCAAAGTGCCATGGACCAGGCGAATGCTGCTGCCATGCAACAATTTGGATCGTTGGCTGGCTTGAATCCTAATCTCTTGGCCAGTTTGCCAGGTTTGGGTTCCTTTGATCCCAAAAATCCATTGGCTGCTTTTGATCCCAAAAACCCCTTGCTCTCCATGCCTTTTGCTGGTATGCCAGGTATGGGTAACATACCGGGCTTGGGTAATCTCAACAACATGAATTTGTTTGCCAGTCTGGCTGGCATGGGTGGTTTGGGAAATTTGGCTAGCATGGATGCTCAATCATTGGCCACTTTGATGGCCGCAGCTGGACCTGCACTGAGTGGCTTAGGAGGTATGCCAGGTTCCTCATCGTCGTCAAGCGGCGGCGGTGGTGGTTCTTCAAGTAAGAATTCTGGACAAGGATCAGGCTCTTCAAATTCGAATAAGAAACCCACAAAAGCTGAGTTGTTGCAGCAAAATGCCGCCGCAGCAGCTGTGGCTGCAGCTGCCTTAGGAGCCTCGGCTTTATCTACTGGCAATTCCGGTTCTGGATCGAACTCGAAAAATTCCGGACCAAGTGCTTCACAACTCGCTGCAGGTTTTCCATTCCTTTTCGGCAATCCATCTCTGCTGTATCCGCCCATGGGTATGAGTGGTTTAAATCCATACTCGTTGGGGTCTGCGGGATTGGGTTCATCGGGCTTGGGTGCTGCCTACGATCAATTGGCACAACAATATCTTATGAATGGAGCCTCTTCAGCCGGCTCCACTTCCACCACCCAAACCAAGGCTCATCAATCGCAGTCCTCGAAATCCTCCAATTCCAGATCATCTTCGTCGTCTTCTAATGCTGCATCATCGGCGGCCCAAGCTGCAAATCTTATGAATGCCATGGCTGCCAGTATGGCAGGGTCTTCAAATACCGGATCCAATAGCTCGCAGAGTAGTTCTCGTGGTCGCCAATCATCGGCCAGCAGAGCTGCAGCGCAAGCATCCGCTGAAATGGCTCAGTTGTCTAATCTCCTTATGCCACCCGCTGATGCCCAGCTATTGGAACAATTCTCACGTATGGCTAATATGGATTTGGCTCAAGCCACACGTCTAATGAATTCTCTGGGTATGCCACCCATTTCGGGAGCCAGCACATCATCCTCATCCACCGTAAGTGATAAACGGTCGTCCTCGTCCAGTTCTTCGGCCAATGCTGCAGCTGTAGCTGCCCAGCAGGCCGCCAAGGAACAACAGAAACTAATGGAGGCCTTGGCTCGAGGTCAATTGCCCACGGATTTGGCAACGCTGCAGGCCTTGTCACAGGGAAAACTTCCACCCTCCATGACAGGTGGCGGTGGTTCTTCGGGTTCCTCATCCAATGCAAATTCATCTTCCAACAATTCATCTTCGAGTAAGAGTGCGAAATCAGCTGCTGCCGCGGCAGCCGCTGCTGCTGCAGCTTCTCTGCCACAAATACCTGGCATGCCTGCTGACTTTAGTCAGGCATTCCTGGCTGAAATGGCAGCCCAGGCTATGGCTGCTGCTGGAGGTCCATTACCCCTAACCGGTCCCGGTTCCTTGGCCAGTTTAACGGGCAGTTTGGCCGGTCTGACGGGAGGTTCATCCACACAATCAACATCATCTTCAGCGACTTCGTCGTCCTCATCAAAGAGACAAAGGGAACACGATGCACTTTCCAAAGATGCCTTCCAGAAACAAATGGACTACTATACCAAAACATTGGGCCTAGGCTCAGGTATATCACTCATACCTACATCGGCGTCATCATCTGGACCTTCGTATGGTGATGATCACCACACGACCACCAAGTCAAAGAGGCAAAGAACTGAGACATCAACGTCATCACTGAAGGACGATTTGAATGCCGCCGCTGCTTTGGCTGCTGCAGGTTTTCCAATGAATTTGGGTGGCGGAATGACGAGCATAGAAAAGAGTATACGTGGCGGAAGTAGTAGTGGTATGGGAGGTGGCGGATCGGGCGGTGGTTCCTCTTCGGCATCGTCGGGATCCTCAGCTCAGCCAGAGGCAGATAAGGTCACACTAACACCTCTGAATTCGGCTGGTATTGCGGCCAATTTACCTTCACAGACCACCATTACCATTGCCCCACCAATTAGTTCCGGAGCCAGCTCCAGTAGTGAGCGGTCTGAGCGAAGTGAGTCTAGAATTTCCCTGACCATAACTAATGCAGCTGAGGCTGCCAAAATGCCACCTCCCTACGAAGAAGCCGACGAACTGATAATACAACCAATACTCAAAAAGCCGACACAACAGCAACCAAGTCCATCTGCCAATTCGTCGTCATCGTCGCACAGCAATTCTCAAGCGCCTCCACCACCACCATCCTCTCAAACACCCACCTCCCAGGCCAACTCAGCGGCCAGCTCAATGCATGGCGGCAGTGTGGAAGACTTGACACATGATTCGGCCAACAATAGTGCATCGTCGAATAACGAAGAGACTCGCCGATCTTCGGGTCGGCTAAAACGTCCCAGATCGGGTGCCGATCATTCGCTGATAGCCGAACAACCGCCAGAGAAGAGACGTGAGTTGCGCTCAACGCGTCACACACGTCAATCGTCGTCGGGTAGTGCCGATAATTCGTTGAATCTATCGACGAACAGTGAAACGGACGAAAGGCCGGAATGAGGTTTAAGGCGTTTAAGGAGCAAATCTATAAATAAATAGTAGAGAAGAAGCATGTAAACAACACACACACAAACACAAATAAAAAAAACTGCAACACTCGGAGCTATAGAGCGAATTAAGAGGAGGAGAAAAATAAAAAAAATATTTAATAGCAAGCGAATATTGTAAATGAACATTGCTAAAAAGAAAAGTTCAAATGTGGTTTGAAAGTTTTGAAAAGAGATTCAAAAAAAAGTAAAGCCGAAAGTTGGAAGAAAAATGTGAAATTTTAAATTTTGCAAAACTGGTTTGAAATAGTCGTCGTACAGACTTATAACCACCCGAAGCCAATAAATTTCTTTCCGAAATTTTCAAAACACATTTGAACAGCACATTCGAAAGAGAAGTGGAGCGCGTCAACTGCTGCTTAGTAGCAAATAATTAAACAAAAATGATAAATTATAATAATTAGTGTAGGATATAATATGAAACAGCAAGAAGAAGAGAGTTAGGAGAGTATTTGAAAACTCTCCGCAGCATCAAACACAACAGTAAACTGATTAAAAGTGAGTTTAGTTTTAAATTTAAGCTATAATAAAAAAATTAAATAGTTATTAAACAATTGAGAGCAAAACAGAAAGAAAAAGTTTTAAAATTTTTATGCTAAAATAGAAAAGAAAAGAGAAAACAACAAACAAAAAATCATAAAACAACAAAAAAAAGATTCTTTTTTAATTTTGTAAAATATAAGCTTAATTTTAGTTTTATTTTTTAGTAATTTTATTCATTTTTAAAGGACACACACACAAAAAACCGACTACAAGAAACAAACAAGCAACCTCCCTCTTCCCCCCAAGCCCTTAAATATATTTTAGCAATTTTTTTTAGATACTGGCATAAAAACAAAACAAAAAACTACAAGTAAAGAAGAAACAGTAAATTTTAATTTATCTAAGACAATTTTCAAAATTTTTCTCAATTGATTTTCGTGGTAATTTCAAAATTTATTTCCCCAATATTTTATTCCTTTTTAAAGACTAAACTTTGCAGTTTTCTTTATTGCTGCTGTTTTATAAAAAAAAAAGGAAATGTAAAGTTTAACTCATTGAAAATGTACAAAATATGGGGTTAAAATAATTTTTGAAAAAAAACTCCATTGTTTTTAACTATTGAGTTGGTGGAAAGCTATGCAAAAAATAGAAACCTACAATGCCAATAATAACATTCAATATCAATGGCATGTTGGCAAAACCCATTTTATGCTGCTGTGGTTTTCTCCAATAACATCCTTTCAATATGCCATTGATAAGTGAATGTTATTGTTGCCCTTGTTGGTGGGTTATTGTCAATTGCATGTTTTCTTTTCATCTCAACTTCCCTTCTACATAAAATAAAACAAATTTTACTTATAATAACACTCATATAAATAATATACATATTCTTTTATTTTTTAAATAATAATAATAATAATAAATTGATTATACTATTTCGTATTTATTCGATTTCCACTTGTAAAATTTATCACATCTATATATAAATATAGTTTTTCGTATAAAGTAAACAACCACAACAACAACAAATATAATGTAACTATAATAAACAAAAAAAGAAAAACAAACAAAAAGCTTATTTTCATATATAACAAATGAAATGACAAAAAAAAAACAAAACACAAATTCTTCTTATTTTTTCGAAAACATCCAAGAAAACAAATTCGTACGTTTTTATGAGGGGAAAAAAGGGTATGTACATTTTTTCGCATTAAAAATGACTACGTTGGAGGTGATTTAGATGATTTTACAAATGTGGGGTTATTCTCTGGGGGTTTTTCCACCTGATAACTAGGAGCCGCAAGTACAACTTTTCATTCAATTCCTGCTCGATATCGAATGATATTTTGTGGTTCTGCACAAATTTCTTTTCTCATGAACCAGTTTCAAATAATTTTAGGGGAGGACATGTGCCTTGATCTCATATCGACGACTCGTTTCAAATCGACGTTTCTTGAACTAATGGTCCTTGAAAAATATTTTTAAAAAATCCGCGTTTCTTGAAAAATATTCTTAAAAATCCACGTTTCTTTAACTGATGGTCCTTGAAAAATATTCTTAAAAATCCACGTTTCTTAAACTTATGGTCCTTCAAAGAATTCTTTAAAAAATCCACGTTTCTTAAACTTATGGTCCTTCAAAGAATTCTTTAAAAAAACCACGTTTCTTAAACTTATGGTCCTTCAAAGAATTCTTTAACAAATCCACGTTTCTTAAACTTATGGTCCTTCAAAGAATTCTTTAAAAAATCCACGTTTCTTAAACTTATGGTCCTTCAAAGAATTCTTTAAAAAATCCACGTTTCTTAAACTTATGGTCCTTCAAAGAATTCTTTAAAAAATCCACGTTTCTTAAACTTATGGTCCTTCAAAGAATTCTTTAAAAAATCCACGTTTCTTAAACTTATGGTCCTTCAAAGAATTCTTTAAAAAATCCACGTTTCTTAAACTTATGGTCCTTCAAAGAATTCTTTAAAAAATCCACGTTTCTTAAACTTATGGTCCTTCAAAGAATTCTTTAAAAAATCCACGTTTCTTAAACTTATGGTCCTTCAAAGAATTCTTTAAAAAATCCACGTTTCTTAAACTTATGGTCCTTCAAAGAATTCTTTAAAAAATCCACGTTTCTTAAACTTATGGTCCTTCAAAGAATTCTTTAAAAAATCCACGTTTCTTAAACTTATGGTCCTTCAAAGAATTCTTTAAAAAATCCACGTTTCTTAAACTTATGGTCCTTCAAAGAATTCTTTAAAAATCCACGTTTCTTAAACTTATGGTCCTTCAAAGAATTCTTTAAAAAATCCACGTTTCTTAAACTTATGGTCCTTCAAAGAATTCTTTAAAAAATCCACGTTTCTTAAACTTATGGTCCTTCAAAGAATTCTTTAAAAAATCCACGTTTCTTAAACTTATGGTCCTTCAAAGAATTCTTTAAAAAATCCACGTTTCTTAAACTTATGGTCCTTCAAAGAATTCTTTAAAAATCCACGTTTCTTAAACTTATGGTCCTTCAAAGAATTCTTTAAAAAATCCACGTTTCTTAAACTTATGGTCCTTCAAAGAATTCTTTAAAAAATCCACGTTTCTTAAACTTATGGTCCTTCAAAGAATTCTTTAAAAAATCCACGTTTCTTAAACTTATGGTCCTTCAAAGAATTCTTTAAAAAATCCACGTTTCTTAAACTTATGGTCCTTCAAAGAATTCTTTAAAAAATCCACGTTTCTTAAACTTATGGTCCTTCAAAGAATTCTTTAAAAAATCCACGTTTCTTAAACTTATGGTCCTTCAAAGAATTCTTTAAAAAATCCACGTTTCTTAAACTTATGGTCCTTCAAAGAATTCTTTAAAAATCCACGTTTCTTAAACTTATGGTCCTTCAAAGAATTCTTTAAAAAATCCACGTTTCTTAAACTTATGGTCCTTCAAAGAATTCTTTAAAAAATCCACGTTTCTTAAACTTATGGTCCTTCAAAGAATTCTTTAAAAAATCCACGTTCTTAAACTTATGGTCCTTCAAAGAATTCTTTAAAAAATCCACGTTTCTTAAACTTATGGTCCTTCAAAGAATTCTTTAAAAAATCCACGTTTCTTAAACTTATGGTCCTTCAAAGAATTCTTTAAGAAATCCACGTTTCTTTAACTGATGGTCCTTGAAAAATATTCTTAAAAATCCACTTTTCTTAAACTTATGGTCCTTCAAAGAATTCTTTAAAAAATCCACGTTTCTTTAACTGATGGTCCTTGAAAAATACTCTTAAAAATCCACGTTTCTTAAACTTATGGTCCCTCAAAGAATTCTTTAAAAAATCCACGTTTCTTTAACTGATGGTCCTTGAAAAATATTCTTAAAAATCCACTTTTCTTAAACTTATGGTCCTTCAAAGAATTCTTTAAAAAATCCACGTTTCTTTAACTGATGGTCCTTGAAAAATATTCTTAAAAATCCACGTTTCTTAAACTTATGGTCCTTCAAAGAATTCTTTAAAAAATCCACGTTTCTTTAACTGATGGTCCTTGAAAAATATTCTTAAAAATCCACGTTTCTTTAACTGATGGTCCTTGAAAAATATTCTTAAAAATCCACGTTTCTTAAACTTATGGTCCTTCAAAGAATTCTTTAAAAAATCCACGTTTCTTTAACTGATGGTCCTTGAAAAATATTCTTAAAAATCCACGTTTCTTAAACTTATGGTCCTTCAAAGAATTCTTTAAAAAATCCACGTTTCTTTAACTGATGGTCCTTGAAAAATATTCTTAAAACTCCACGTTTCTTAAACTTATGGTCCATGAAAGATATTCTTTAAAAAAATCCACGTTTCTTTAACTGATGGTCCTTGAAAAATATTCTTAAAAAAATCCACGTTTCTTCAACTGATGGTCCTTGAAAAATATTCTTTAAAAAGTCAAGGTTTATTGGTCTGATGGTCCTTGAAAAATATTCTTTAACAAATACACGATTCTTAAACTGATGGTGCTTGGAGAAAAACGTTCAAAAAATCCTGATGGTCCTTGAAAAATATTCTTCAAAAAATCCACGTTTCTTAAACCGATGGTCCTTGAGTTTTTTTTTTTAAATCCACATTTCTTAAACTGATGGTTCTTAAAATTACTTAAAAAAATTCACGTCCTTCAAAAAAATCCTTATGCTCATTGAAAAAAAAAATATATTTTGAAAAAAATTCTTCAAAAAATATGACAACTTCTCCACAAGAGGTCAACATTTGGAATAAACATAACGCAAGTCAAAAAAAGAATACTAATTAAAAAACGGGCATAGGTTGAGGGTGGTACACCTTTTTTGGAAAACCGACAGATACTTTTTAATTTTTATACCCTACACCACATAGTGGTTAGGGTATTATGTCTTTGTGCATTTGTTAGTAACATAGTTACTTTGAGGATCTTCATATAATCAATTTCTGAGTCGATTAATGCATGCCAGTCCGTCCGTCCGTCAGCCCAAATTGGATAGATTTTTTCATATACAACCGAATTTTTTCATTTGGTGAAACTCGGGCCGGTATATCCATGGTACAATTAAAAGGTAAGGTAGAGCTACCAGCTGATACAATTTTTTTTCTAAGTGTGTCCGACTTCTGCCAATTTTGTGTATGTATTTATTGTTTTGAAAAAAAAAAAAAAAAAACAAAATATTTTGAAAACCAATGATTGGAAAACTTGTAGATTACGGCTCGCGTATTAAAGCTATTAACCATTTTAGCCATGAAATTAATATATTGGACAGTTTGGATCATATTTTTGAGAGAACATCCAGGCATTTAATTCATTTTTCGCGCTTTTGACTCATTTTAAAAATACACAAATAATATCAAATAAATGAAAACAACTTGTTGCATATAATTTTGCTTAATTCTGGCAGGAAGCGGGCATAGCCTCAGGGCTGTATTTCTCTAGTTTCACGAAGCTGTTCTACCTCCTTATTGTACCATGGGTATATCCATAGCTCCAATAAATATTTTTTAATACAGTTCTTATCAAAATCACATTATTCACATATATTCCCAATAGGGAAGCTCTACTAAATACGCATAGTGGTGTAGGGTATCATATAGCCGGCCCCTCCCGACTTTTGACCTTTCCTTACTGTCTTTTAATAGTGGTCCATTGGTCCAAGAAACATTGGTAAGTACTGAGAAATTATAATTGTGAAATACTAAATGTTACCATGGTATTATTGTCCCGTGTTGTACTCCTTGCACTTGACAACATTGGTTTGCTTCATCGTTTTTGGCGAATGAGATGTAGTATTGGA